TTGGCATCAGCAGCCAGGAAATTAAAAGACATATTGCAATGGGAAAGTCTGCTATTAGAGACTTCTCCAAAGTATTGAAGAGTGACTATGTCAGTCTGGCAACTAAGGTGTGCCTGATACAGGCTATGGTCTTTGCAATCACTCTCTATGCATCAGGGAGCTGGGCAATGACTAGGGATGATAGAAAGAGAATTGATACCTTTGAACTGTGGTGTTGGAGAAGAGTGTTGAATATACCATGAACTGCTAAGAAAAGGAACAGTTTCGTTCATCCTTGAAGGAGTTAAACCAGGCTGCTCCATGGAGTCAAGGATTTTGAAGTTTCATCTGACATATTTGGACATGTTGCAAGGAGGGACCAATTCTTGGAAAAGGTTGTCATGCTTGGGAGGATGGAGGGATAATGCAGGAAAGGAAGACTCTCTGTGAGATGGATTGATTCAGTGACTGGGGAAATGGGGGTAGGTGTGTCAGAGACAGATTGTCACAGAAAAGAGCAGGGTTTAGGGCTGTTGTACATAGGATTATGAGTCTCAGGCCACTTGACGGCACATAACAACAACAACAAAGCTCTGGTGGCCAAGTGGTAAGAATCCTGAAGGCTCTGGGGAATGAATTCATCAACTGCTCCATGGGAGGACGGGCAATCTGCTCCCATGTTAATTGCTTCTGAAAGCCTGCTGGAGGGTCAGCTATGAGTTGGTTTCTACTCGAAGGTACACAACAACAACCACCATCATAATAATGTTACCACCTGCCTACTGTTCTCAAATATTGAATAATAATCCAAACCATGAATACTGGAAATTATTGATATTCCTCTGATATTTTTACTACACTCCTACTTGTCCATTATAGGATAATATGAATATACCTTAAAGGCAAACATTTGTATTTCAAGCCATATGAGAATCACACACACGTCTTTCACAGATACATATAGGTTTATATCCTGGTGAGTTTTGAGTGAAGGAATTAGACAATCTTTGTAAAACTGACACCTGTTTTCAACAAAACTTATCAACTGAAATGGAAATTCTCATTAAGGAGCTAGACTTGGATAGGGTTTTTTTTTCTTTTTATGTATACCCTTACAGGAGGGTGGGATTTTAAAGGTCTTACATAGCAAAGGAATAAGTTGACATTTTGTTACAGTGCATTGCTTTGTCAAAACTCATACCAGTTTATTCTTGTAGAAGCCTAAAATGGAACAAAAGGCTTGGGTTAGGGGAAATCCTATAAAGCCCATTTTCTAATATGGAATATTTTTTTTTCTCCCCTAAAGGAAGCAAATATCACCCTTATAGTGATTGGACAATCATCCTACCATCATATTGCGGTAAATATTTAGCGTATTTGAAACTTAACAGGTTACTTAATATACAGATTTAATTTTTGTAATCATCATATATGTAGGAATTGCTAGAATTAGGTTAGATTGTTGTTACTTATCTTTCATTTGTTGTTCTAACATCCCAATTATTTTCTTTTCTTCAGCCATTCTGCAAACTGACTGGGTATACTTATGAAATCTACGTTGACCCTGAGAGAGAAATTTATAAGAGATTGGGATTGAAAAGAGGTGAAGAAGTTGCCTTCTCTGGTAAGAAATGCCTTAAGTACGAAACACTGAGATTGTATTTTCATGTTTATGTATATGAGTGTACATATCAGACTTTTAACTAAAATGCTGCAAGTTTGGACCCAACCTTTCAGGCTTGAAGGACTATAAATTGGTCTTATTTTTTTGGTTTTATTAAGTAGTCCAGTTATACCACACTCTATAAGAATTGGGGATATATTATTGTTGTATTATATTTTCTCTTCTTCCTTGGTATGATTATCTATAAGTCTGGGGGCTGAGTATTGTGTGAAAAAAAACAAGTTGTTGAATAATATTTTGAAAATAAAAACAATTATCACTAACTTAGATATTTATAATATATGATGGAAAAGTTTTAAAAGACACTGCAGTGTTAACCCCATGGGATGGAAGTGAGTAAAGCTTCTTGTGTATTTGTACTTCTTATATTAGTCATATTTTACTTTCCTAATGAAAAGAAAAATTTACTGATTTTCATATTATAACACTATGGCTTTAAATACTCTTATATTCAGTTCCAACTCAACGGTACACAACACAACAATTTTTTTAATTAATAAAATCCTAGTTATTGACAGTTCTGGTGTCCTAAGGAGTTGTGCTACCAACCCAAAGGTGCACAGTTCTAATTCACTGTGTGCTACCCAGGAGAAAGATGGGCTGTCTACTCCTGTGCCATTTACAGCTTCTCAAAATCCACTGTAAGGTTCGCTATGAGTTGCTTCCGACTTGACGGCACACAGTAACAACAACAGTTATTAAGGATCTCTCACGACCTAGTGGATAAAGAGTTGTGTGCCAACCCAAAGGCTGGTAGTTTGAATCCACCAGTTTTGTGGGAGAAAGTTGGGCAGCCTCTTGTGCCTCTGAAAATCTAGCTATGGCTTGATTTTTACATGCTTCAATTGATAAGGTCTGCTGAAAATATTGGCACCCTGTACTTTACCTCTCACGTGTGAAGCCGTTGGATTCTGAAAGGTGGGTTTTTCTTGTTTTGGTTGAGGGTCAGGCGGGGACTGTTTGGGTTTTGGTGGTTTTTTTGTTGTTCACAAATTTGTGTGAGCTGATTGGATTTGCTGGATTTGGCTAACAATGAGTTGTGAGCTGGAAGCCTCTTGTTTAGAGCCAATCAGGGCCTGGTGGGTGGGCCTATATTATTTCAGAACCAGACCCTCCAGCAGGCTTTCAGAGACTATAAATCACAAGGAAGGCTGCCCATTTTTCTCTCATGGAGTGGCTGGTGGATTCAAATCACAAGACTTTTGGGTTGGCAGTGCAGCTCTTTACCCATAAGCCACCAGATCTCTCGAAGTTTCTAGAGGTTGTAAATCACATGAAACCAAGACACCAGTATTAGGAATACCTACACCTGAATCTATAGGGAGAGAGAAGGATCTGGAAGATTTTTTAGAGTAGGTGAAGTCTCTGCTCACTCCCAAAGGAATTTGGAAGCTGAAGTGAGGATAAGGAAGGGTGATCCTAGTAGTGTGTGCAAATGGTGGCATAAAGAAAATGTGACTCATTTGGAGAAGGGCTGTTTCTAGATGGTTTCTAGAGGTTAGAGTTTATAATACATAGGATAGTTACTGTATTATGGCCATATTGGCAACAATCTTAACCATCATACAACCAAGAAATATCCAAGAAGTGTAGAAAAGCATGGAAAAATCACCTGTGGGAGGTTTTTAGTTGCTGGGTTAGAAATTACCCACAGCATGTTATTCACATTCTGTCAGCACATAATCAATCATATGAACATACCTAATTGCAAAGAAGACTGGGGAAAAAAGCATTTTAGGCTCCAGAAGAGGAAACTGGTTTTGACTACTGTGAAAATGCCACAATGTTACTTGAAAAGGAGTATGTTGTTGTTGTTATGTGTCATCAAGTCACCTGTGACTCAGTGACCATATGTATGCTTTGAATCCTGCCCTATCCTGAACCAATGTCATCATCTCCAACAGACCTAATCCCGTTTCTCCAGACACTGAGTCAATCCATCTCATCCTGGATCTTCCTCTCCTGCACTATCTCTACTCTTTGAAGCATGATGTCTTTCTCCAAGGGCTAGTCCTTCCTGGCCATGTACCCAAAGTATGTGAGATGGAGTTTCAAAATCCTTGCTTCCAGGGTTTCACCCTCTCCAGGACTGACCTGTTTGTACTCCTTGGCAGTCAGTCTATGATATGTTCAACATTCTTCTCCAGCACCACAACTCAAAGGCATTGATTCTTCAAGTCATTGTGGCAACCATGGCCTGGATCAGGTGCACCTTATGCTCCAGACTGCCATCGTTGCTTTTCAGTACCCTAGAGAGTTTCCTGAAAGTAGACTTTCCCAATACAATGGATCTTTTTATCTGACTGCTAGTGCCAAGAGTGTTAGCTGTGGAACCGAGCAAGCTGAAGCTTTTAACAATTTCAATCTCTTCTCTATCTATCATAAAGCTGCCTCTTTGCCCATTGGTAAGAATCTTTTGTTTTCTTGATGTTAAGCTTAAATCCGTATTGAAGACCTTCAGCAAGCACCTCTTATTTTTCTCAGTTTCAGCAAGCAAGGTTGTATAACGTAGGTTGTTGAGTCTTCCTCCAATCCTGATGCCACATTCCTCCTCATAAAGTCCATCCTCACGAATGATCTGTTTTGCATCTAGATTGAAAAGTTGTGTGGATAGGACACATCGCTGATGCATACCTTTCCTGATCCTGAACCATGCAGTGTTTTCTTGATCTGTTCTGATTACTGCTTCCTGGTCCAAGTATAGGTTTCACATGAGCGCAATTAAGTGCTCTGATAGTCCCATTCTCCTCAAGGTTAGCCACAATTTGTTGTGATCTACACAGTCAAATGCCTTTGCAGAGTCAATGAAATACAGATAGATCTTCCTCTGGTACTCTCTGTTTTTGGCCAAGATCCATCTAATGTAGGCTATGATGTCCCTAGTACCACAGCCTTTTCTAAACCCAGCCTGCACATCTGGTAGTTCTCTGCTGAGAACTCCAGTCATTTTTGGATAATCTTCAGAAGGATCTTGCTTGCATGTTGTATTAGTGATACTGTTTGATAATTTCCACACTGTGTTGAGTCACCTTTTTTGGAATGGGAATAAATGTAGATCTCTTCCAGTCAGTTGGCCAGGTGGTTTGGTTTCCAGATTTCCAGATTTTGAAGAGGAGTATAGCCACCCATTAATTGGCTAAGAAAGCCAGTAAATGGGAATTGAGATGGAAAAGAGCCACAGTTTGAAAAGTAGCAACCTTTGTATGGTTGTTGTTGTGGAGTACTATCAAGTCAGAACAGATCCATATCGGAGGCAGTTAATCACCCAGGGGTTGATGCAATTGGAGGGTAGAAGGCAGAAAATTATCTGGGTCTCTTATCATTCTTCCATTAAAGTGGTAGTTCTCAACCAAGAATAGTTTTGCTCCTAGGAAACATTAGGTATGTCTAATTTTGGGTTTTCTTAGTTGGTGGAAAGGATGCTATGAGCATCTAGTGTGTAGAAGGTAGGAATACTACTACACATTTTATGATGCACAGGACAAAGACCTAATCCTAAATGACAACAGTGAAATGATAGAGAAATTCTACTTTGACTAGAAAGAGGTCACATAAGACACTATTTTATGAAAGTACTAAAATCACCTTCTTAATAACTAATCAAATATAAAAATCATATCTAAATATCTAAAGACAATTCATTTATCTTAGCACAGAGTCCCCATGTGAAATCAAGTCTGCTTTCTGGAAGCATTCAGAGCCTGTTCCGGGCAATGACTAGTCCTCTGTTTGATTTTCAAGGAGATCCAGCTCAGCAAGGAGGAACCTTCATTTTAGGTCCAGGTAAGTATCAAAGACTCAGACTCAGGAATACAATCTGTGCCTTTTAGAAGTCCAGTTGCCATTTCTTTCTTCACATAATAGTCATCATGGGGAGCTTGAATTTATAACACAGTGCTATATTTTCGTGTTGTTGTTGTCGCTCTTGTGCACCATGAAGTTGGAATTGACCCTTAGCTGGTAGAGGGTTGGTGAAGGAATGATTGACATGGTGACAGCCACAATGGCTCTAGTGTGTCAGGAAGCATGAGGCTGGCACAGGATAGGACAGGATTCAGATCTGTTGTTCATGTGGTCACTGTGAGTCATAATTGACTCAACAGCACCTAACATAGCTGACCTCCCACCAGGTTTTCAGAAGCAGTTAATTGCATGGAAGGAAACTGACTATCTTTTTCCTGGAGAATAGCTCCTGGAGAATAGCTGGTGAATTTGGACTGCGTACCTTTGGGTTGCCGGTAGAACTCCTCCCCACTAGGCTACTAGAGTAGGAAGCTTTCTTTCTTCCAGAGACTTGTGTGTATTTGTCTGCATTTGTGTGCATCAGTCTATTTAGTTAATATATTGTGCCCGTCATTTCATTCCTGCTTAATTTCAAGTACTTGGGAAAGAGAAAGTCAAATATGTAATTCTGATTTTGTGATTCATGTATGATTATAATACATTTTCAAAATGATGATTAGAATACATTTTTAAAATGGTGTAGTAGTTCGTTGCTGAGATCTACCTGCTAACTGCTCTGTGGGAGAAAGATGGAACAGTTTGCTTCTATGAAGATATACAGCTTTGCGAACCCTATGGGGCATTTCTACTCTGTCCGATAGGATCACTGTGAGTCAGAATCAGTTCAACAGCAGTGGACAACTGGCACTCGGCTATTGACCAAAAAGCTAGTGGCTTAAACCCTCCCAGAGGCTCCTCAGAAGACTAGTCTGGCTTCTGAAAATTCTAGACTGTGGCCTTGAAAACCTTATAGAAAAAGTTTATTTTACACACATGGGATTGTAATGAATTAGAATCCTCTTGATGGAAACTAACAACAACAATACCACTTTTTAAAAAGTTAGAAATTGCAGGGAAGTTAGATCAATTGGAAACAGAACAATCAGAATGGAAATAATGAGAAGGCTGCATATTGTAAAAATTATAACTAATTTCATAAAGTAAGATCTGGTGACCAAGTAGTAAGAAGCTGCACTGCAATTCAAAGGGCACGTGGTTCAAATCCACCAGCAGCTCTGCAGGAGAAAGATGGGCTATCTTCTCCCCATGCAATATACTGCCTCTGAAAACTTGCTGGAGGGTCTACTGTGGGTCATTTCCACCTCAAGGGCACATAACAACAACGTCATAGAGCAATTTGTATAAAAGTTGTTACAGTGAGAACCTGATTCACTGTGTAAACTTTTACCTAAAACAAGGTATTAAAACTAATAATAATAGAAAGTTCAGTGGATGTGAACATTTCAGAATAGGGAAGCATCATCAAGCAGTGTTTTTATGTGTGTGTCTCTGTGTGTGTGTGAGTGTGTGAATGGAAGAATTGGTCTTGTTATTTATACCTAAATTGTCTATCAGTTTGCCACACTGTGGTGGCTTGCATATTGCTGTGATCCTGGAAGCTATGTCCATGTTAAACAAGTTTCAGCAGAGCCTCCAGACTAAGCAAGCAGACCTGGCCATCTATTTCTAAAATAATGAATCCTTGAAAACCTTAAGTATAGCAGTGAAATATTATCTAATGTATTGCTGGAAGCTACCTCAAATTAGAAGGCATTAAAAAATGAAGGCAACTGGAAAACAGCTGCCTCCTCAAAGTAGAGTCCATTATAGTAATGTGGAGGCAGGAAAGCTTCAGTCAATGAAAGAATTTCATTTGCTGATGTGGCACAACTCAGAATGAGGAGAAATGCTGCAGACAACCATTAATATTCAAAACAAGGGAATACATGAAGTGTAAATCTTGGAAAGTTAGAAGGTGTACCAGGAGAAGCCAGTCTTTGGATAAAAACATCACGCTTGGTAAAGTAGAAGGACAATGAAAAAGAATATTCTTGATGAGATGAACAGATAAAGTGTCTAGAATAATGAGCATAGGAAAGATTGTGAGGGTCAGAGAGGATTGTTCTGTGGTATATGGAACTGCCATATTTCAGAGTCAGTTTAGTGGTACCTAATAACAAAATTAAGGGAGCTGCTCAGTGTCTAAAAGCCAGTCACTGTCAGGGATAGGAAACTGAACTCAGCTTCAATAAAAATTACTATCAGACACACACTTTTTTAAAACCCCACACACATATTTTTCCTTACATTTATTGAAATTAAATTGTTGATAAAAAAACAACAGATAAAATAAAAACAAAAAGCATCAAGCAATGTACCACAAACTTTTAACAATTTTATTGATGAGTTTGGGTTGCTTGAAATTTCTTAGGCTTTTCTTTGCTAAAGTTAGTGAGTGCTATATCAATGCCATGTTCAGATATTACATTTAGGACAGGCTGCTTTGTGTAACAATGCTGATAAACTTAAGTCATGTTGTAAAGTGCCTTTTTTTGGTTCTTCTTCCTTTTAAAAATTAACCATTTTAGCTAAGAAATTATCTACGAGTTAAAGAATTCTTTAGTTTGGTGAATTCCAAAAGTCTAAAGAAAAGTCTTTAGAAAGAATTTTTACTAAGTATTATGACTTATCTTCTTTCAGTTTGAACACTACAATTTAAGTCTATCATTTTATTTAATCATCCAGAACCTCCTTCTCATTAACTTGTACCAATTAGTTGGAGGAGAAAGGCTTGTCTTAGGAAAAGAATTATTTCTATGAAACAGCCCAAAATTAAATTGACCTGTAGTTTTTAATGTCTTACTTCCATCCTTAGAGCTGAAAGGAATCTTTTTTTGTCTTTCATCTCCATGGTATACCTTAGTGTATAACAAACAACTATAAATGGACAGCTTCATTTGTGTACAAATTTGTTAACAATGAATCACCTTTAGTCAGAACCAACTCCTAGCTCACCCTCTATTGAGTTTCTGAGGCTATAAATCACATGGGAAAATATTGCTCATCTTTTTCCTTTGGAGCTGCTGGTGGATTAGAACTGCAAGAATGCCTTGGCCTTTAGGTTGGCAGCACAACTCCCTACAGACACTCCACAAAAGCTCTCTGAGCAAAAGAATACACAATTCATTTTGGTGATACAAATGTAACTAAATCTTTTAAGGAAAATTTCATACTTATTTCCACAAGTCTATTATCATGGCTAGCCCAGTATTTCATTTTGCTTTATTTGCTAATAAATTTATTATTATTGGAAACTGCAGGTAAATACAATGCAGAAAATATTTCTTATAAAGCTCAGTTAATATAATTTTTAGGTTTTAATTATAGTCTTGAGTAAAGAATTGGAATAGATACAACCTGAAGTACAAATTATGACTTTTATTGAGTATACAAAAACAACCTATAGGACAGCTAAGTCTGCTCTGATTATCTTAATATCATTATTGTTAGCCTCTTTGAGGCTATGATTATAATGTAGAATACTACTGTATTAAACTATTAATTGTTGAGTAGTATTTTTAAAATGAGTTATTATATTATTTTAAAAGATACGGTTTTATGTTCAATATTTGTATTAGTTATTAATTCTGCCTGTTTGTCATGACATTTAATTAGATTTAATAAAACCTAACAGAAAGATTCTTATAATTTAAGAATCATTTTTTCTTGGAACTCATAAAACATTAAATATTACTCTATGTAAACATCCTTGCCATATTTTATTACCATAATAAAAATTATTAGGTCATTATATAGAGAATATAATGTATTCCATTAATTATTTTTCCCTTCTAGAATAGTTAAATCTTAAAAAAGTCTTTGACTCTAGTATGAAATAAATTTAATGAATAATACTTCATATGCCAATTTCAGCCTTTTATTCTTATTCTCTTCTAGGCAACAACATCCATTATATGCACCTCGACAGGAATAGGTTAGATCACAAGCCCATCAACTCTGTTTTACAGCTTTTAGGAGTTCAGTATGTTAACTTTACAAGCAGACCTTCAGTTATCCATGTGTGATTTTATACAGAATCTATTACTTCTAGAGGATTCCTCCAGAATGTGATCGTAAATGTTTGGGGTGTGTAAAAGGTCTAACTTGCTGATTCTCTTTGTCTCTGAGTAATTATTCAAATATAAATAGATCACTTACCAGTTGGAGCTCATGCTAAGAGATATCAGTTGTCAAAAATGATTATAAAATTTGTCAAGTTATAAATACCATTGTTAAATTTGTTTTATATTATCATTTATTTTTTGGCCTTTAATATCATAAATTCTTAGAAGAACATACAGTGCAAGGGAAGTAAAAAGAAAGTCAAGGTCATTGCCATGCAGTTGGAACTAACTCCTAGCTGACCCAGTGGGTTTCTGAAGCTGTAAATTGTATAAGGTGAGACTCACCATCTTTCTGCTTCAGAGTCACTGGTGTGTTAGAATTGCCAGAGAGGTATTGCATTTGGTATAGTAGCACAACTCCCTATGAACACCACCACCAGAGCTCCAGGGAATCAACTCAAAGCCATGTTATTCAATGTTAAAACAAGGTATCAAAATATAAATGATAGAACCTAATTTATATATGTATATGTGTATGTATATATATATAATGGAAAAAAGGCAAGAATTAAACATACCAGAATATTTCCTATAGGGATCTAGTGATAGGAATATAATTGTTTTTACTTTTCTCCATACTTTTCCCATTTTTCTAACTGTTCTATGATACCCTCAAACTTATTTTCATGGGGTCAGAGTTGACTCATAGCTGACCATCCAATGTATTTTCAGAGGCTGTAAACCATACAGAAGGAGATTACCCGTCTCTCTATACTATGAAGCAGCTAGTGGATTCGAACTGCCAGAGAGAAGCCACCTTTGGGTTAGCACAATCTCTTCTTATTCATTAGGTCACTAAAGTTCTATGATAAACATGACTAATTTGGAGACTGGAGGGAAAAATTCTTTTAATATTATATAAAGAACATATTCCTAAATAACAAGGTCTGCAAAGTTAAAAATAGATTTAAGTCCATAAGCTTTCATACTAATTGCTTAATTTGGAGAAAATGGGGGAAACTAAATCACTCTATATCCATAGGCATATTCATCTCCATAGGCAGGCAAGAGTGCTTCTGCCCTACAAAAGTGAAATGCCCCTGACACATGGCATCCCTGTGACCCTACCCCTGAGCTGGAGGCCCAAAGACCTACAGCACCCATTACTATCACTTCCAGTTGCTGGGTGTCCATGCTCTACACTTACCCATTCACTTAGCCACTCTACCAACATGCTGCAGACTGGTGGTATCAGCCTTTCTCCTATCTACTGCCACTGAGAATTCCTGTAGAATGTCAGCACGTACTTCTCCTAGCCACTCATGACAGAGAGCCACAGAAGGATAGTATTCTTGCTCTGCCTACTCAATTCCATGAAAGGCAAGAAGATATTTCTCTAAGAATCTCAATAAATAGCATACAAAATACACTCCAAAAGTAAGTCACCAATACTACAACTACTAATCTTATACTCATTGTTGTGTCAGAACTGACTCATAGAGGCTATAAATTGCATGGGAGAAGAACAGCCATCTTTCTCCCTAGGAGCAGCTTTTGGATTCAAACTGCCAAGGAGGTGCTGCCTTTGGATGGGCACAACTCCTAACCTACTTGGCCACCAAAGCTTCCTATATTCAAAATACTATACAACATATACTCTAAAAGAAACTCACCAAGACATATCATAATCAAACTTACCAAAACCAACAACAAACAATCTGAAAGCACCTCAGGAAATCAAAGTTACCTACAATGGAGGACCAGTACAACTAAGGGCAAGAAACCATGTAGGCAAGAGGACAATTAAATTACATATACAAAACTGAAAGAAAAAAATTAAACAGCCAAGAATTAAGTATCCAACAAAATTATCTCTCAAATACAGTGATGAAATTAGGATATTTCCTAGTAAACAGAAATTCACTTACACATTACCAGGAAGTCAGGACCAACTCATAGCTGACCTTTGTTGCTGTTGATTGCCTACGAGTCGCACATAACTCATAGCGACCCTATGAAGAAAAACCTGAAGACCCTCTACAAGTATCAACATTTATCAAAGTTCATAAAATTTCTTGAGACATGTTTAGGAAGTGGATGCCATTTCTGCTTCCAAACCTGTCATAGTATGTTATTATCTGATCCTTACTGGTTTCCAGGTCTGTAAATCACACAAGAGATTACCTATCTTTTCATGCAGCCACTGGGTGAATTTATACCAGAGAGGCATGACTTTGGGGTCAGCAGCACAACTCCCTGAAGACTACACCCCAAGAGTTTCCTAGAAAGTAAAGGTTTGTGAAAACAAGCCAACCTTACAAAAAAAGGAAGATTGTTGTTGTTTTTTTATAGAGAAGTAACATCAGACAACAACCAGTATTAGGACAGAGGACATCATTAGTTAGATACCAACCAAAATAAAAAAAAAATATCAAATATAAAAAGTGAAAAGACTAAAAAAACCCAGGGAGTCACAGAGATCAATCTGCAAATAAACAACAAAACCCCCAGATAACAAAAATAATTCAGTTACTATGAAAGTATATTTGTGCACATTCAAAAACTTCTCCAACAGGGTGAAAAGGGAAGCCACCGACTGGGAAAAAGT